TTGTAGACAACAGACAACAGGCAGATCGGGCGATAGTTGCCAATGTCGTGGATGTCTCCCTTCTTGTACAGTAGTACAGTCCTACTGGTTTTCCACTGGGAAGAACCTTGCATTCAGACAGCTGAGCCAGTGTTTTGATGAGTACTGATGGCAGGTTCTTCAGGTGTTCGGATCTGACCTTGTCTGGGCCGGGTGCTCTTCACTTCTTTACCGATGAAATGGCATGTCAGATTTCGGAAGGGAGAATGTTGGGAACAACATATCCATCATTCAGACTCCACGCAGCCAACGCCATGCTCCAGGATGCTTTCCAGACTCTTTGGCCGAGACTCATGCATGGGTGAAGCCCCACAGAGCTGAGAAAGCAGGACACTCTTGGACTCCAGGCTCAGCGGACCCATGAGCAGAGATCTTCTGCCTGCTTCCAGCATCCCTGCAGACCTCGACTACCTCCACTACCTCCACTACCCAGCTGACACCATACTCCAGGACGCTTTCTTGACTTAATACAAGATTACCACACCACATTTGATGAGGTTCAAATATGGTTTGAAACATGGGAACACCTGCAAGTGTGATTAGAGGCCACCCCAAAAGTCTCTATCCCTCTCAGAGAGCCTGGCAAGCTAATGAGAGTATTCCGCCCACACGGCAGAGCCTGGCAAGCTATCCGTCACATATTCGACATGCCAAATCCAGTAAATATAATGGGTCTCTTTCTCCTGACCCTGAAAAAGCCACCAATATGGCAGTGTTAAGAAGGATGAGGAAGGAGAGGCTGATAAAATCTCAGGGCCGAACAAGGCTTCCAAAACGAAGGACAAAAATTACTGTCTGTACTTTCAATGCACGTACACTGGCATCAGATACATCCATCGAGGACCTGATGGTAAACGCGTGAAAGATCAAGTACATCATCATTGCTCTAACCAAAATGAGAAGGCATCAAACATATCACACCGTTTTCGACACTGGAGAACTGTTCTTAGAATATGCGACAAAAGAGGCATCGGTGGTGTCAGTGTCCTTGTCAACACGAACTTGGCCATGAGCATTGATTCATTTGAATGCCTAATAACCTGAATCGAATAATTACACTTGAATAGATGTGGCTCACTGCCAGCAGTTTCTATATTCGTTGTCTATGGACCAATATCAAATTATGATGAAAAAGAAATTGAGAAGTTCTACATAGAACTGGAGAAGTTCTATAAAGAAACCACACCTTCTACAAGATCATTGTCAATGATTTTAATGCCAAGATAGGACTGAGAAGATCAGCCAAAGAACTCCACATCGGGACCCATGGCCTAGAATGGAATGAACAGGGTGAGAGACTGTCTGAGTTCATCATGTCAACCAAGACCATCCATTGTAACTCACAATTCCAGAAGGCTGAATATAAACGTTGGACATGTGAGTCTCCCGGTGGATGGTTCCACAACAAAATTGACCACATCATATTCAATCAATGGTTTCGCCTGACCTATGTTGCTGTTGTCCCAAAATTCCAAACGGGATCAGATCACCATCTCCTTCGTGCAAAATTCTACTTCACAGAGTGGGGAGAAAGAGCTGTAAAGTTTAAGAAGAGAACTACCAGAACGACCACCAACTGGGAGCTCTTTGGCACTGTTGCAGCAACATGGGAAGATGTTATCATTCACAACATTGATGAGGAATACAATTGAATGGTTCAGCACCTCCATAATTGTTCGAAGAATGCTGAGAGAGAGATAGCCACAAAATGATGCCTGTCTTCGAAAACTCTCGACCTCATTCGCCAACATAGCTTGGTGTAAACCTCAGGCATCCGCAAGTTAACTTCCAAGCTCACAAAGCAGTGCAGAGAAGTGATAAAGGAAGACCTCAAAGAGAGAAGAGCAGCAGTGCTGGCAGATGCAGCAGAAGCTGGAAAAAACATTTGCAACGCCCGCCTGTCCTTCGCCAATTACAAGACCAAGATAACTGCCCTCCGATGTCCTGATGGATCTATCACATCTTCCAGGAGGGCAATGAAGATTATCCATGACTTCTACTCAGATCTTTTCAATAGCCATGTCCACCTACCCACATATCAATTTCTGCAGGATTCAAAAACACACAGCAGAAATACTATTTGCTCTTCAATGTTCTTTGCAGCACTATTCACAATAACCAGAATCTGGAAACAACCTGAGCGACTGAGAACAGATGAAAGGATAAAGAAACTATGGCGCATCTATAAAATGAAATACTATGCAGCTTTCAGGAAAAATGAAGTCATGAAATTTGTCTATAAATGGATGGACAAGAAGAGTATCATGCTGAGTAATATGAGTCAGGAGAGAGACATAAAATGACTGCATTCATTTGTGGTACATAAAAAAATATATCGTAGAAGACTAATATCCAAGGCTATGGAAAATGGGCTAGAAAGACTGGTCAATGGTTGGAATCAACCACAAGTATATGTGGGACAGAGGGTGGGTAATATAGAGAAGGGACCGTATGACAATAATAGCTGGGGATGACCATGCTGGACAAGAACTGAGTGCTAAAAGTAAGTAAAGGAATACACATGCTAAATTTCCAGCATCTGTATTGCAAACCACAATGGCCCAAAAGGAGAGAGACAGAGATAGAGAGAGAGAGAAAGAGAGAGAGAGCCTGCCATAAGGGCAGGCTGGGGTGTAGGTGGGGAGTGATGGGAGGGAACCTGGGGACCTTGATGGTGGAAAATGTACACTGGTGGAGGGATGGTGTTGGAACACTGTATGACTGAAACCTAATCATGAACACCTTAGTAAAGGTCTATCTCAGAGTAAATCAAGTTTAAAAAATTCTTTAAAATAAATAAATAAAAATAGAAGGTGTGTGTGTGTGTGTGTGTGTGTGTGTGTGTGTGTGTGTGTAAACACATGCTATTCACTCGGCTATGATGTGTGTGTGTTAAATAAACCCTGCCATTTTCAACAAGAATGAATCTAGAGGGTGTGATATCTAATACAGAGGTCTTAGCCTCAAAATTGTTGCATTTAGGGCTATACAATTCTTTGTTGTACTGTTCTCGTGTATTTTTTACTATTCAGCAGTATCTCATTGCACACCAAATATTTCTGAAGATTTAAACATATTTATTTCATCCAGCAATCTTAACAACTTTACAATACAGATGTTACTAACATTTTCAATTTAGGATAAGGAAATTAAACAATAAAACTGACATCCGAGTGCAGGCAATCTTGTAACAAAGTCAACCCCTCAATTTCTTTTTTCCCTCTGCTTTTTAGGTATTATTTAGTGTGTACTTAAAATGGCATAAAATATTAGTTATAAGCACTTTGACAGCTGTATTATGTTTATAAAAACAAAACATTAGATTTAAGAAAACCACTGACAAACAAAACTTATTAACAAAGTTGTAGTAAACATAAACAATGGAAGTACTTAGTCCCAAAAGTTATTCATATAGACTTCCTCATACTTATTACAACTTGTCTCATTTCCTGTGTTATAATATCACTGAATTTAAGTATAAAGTTAATCTCCAAAAAATAAAAGGTGGGGGCTGAAGCAATAGCACAGAGGGTAGGCTGTTTGCCCTGCATGCAGCCAGGCCAGCTTCGATTCCAAGGATCCCATATGGTCCCCTGAGCACCACCAGGAGTCATTACTCAGTACAAAGCCAAGAGTAGCCCCTGTGCATCACTGGGTGTGACCCAAAAAACAAAAACAAAAATAATAAAGGGTGATACAATCTAGAAAAGTCATCTCTACTCCTTTGCTCATTGAAGCACTATTCACAGTAGCCAGAATCTGGAAACAATCCAAGTGCTTGAGAACAGGTGAGTGGATAAAAAATGTATGGTATACACAATGGAACACTATGCAGCTGCTAGTAAAAATGAAGTCAGGAAGTTTTCTTATATGTGCATGGACATGGAGAATATCATGCTGAATGAGATCAGTCAGAGGAAGAGGGACAAATGTAGAATAATAGCACTTATTTGTAAGATATGTGAATTATGAGATAAGTGCGGGGGTAGAATCTCCTGCCCATGTGCCAGGCTGTCTTCACAGAGGGCCCTTGGAGGGAGGCAGGTTGAGTTTCCCTCCCCGTCCCAAGCAGAACCCTGGCAGCCAAAAACCTCCAGAACCCAGCCACAGCCATGCTAAAGACCACTCTTTACATGCTCAGACAAGCCTCATGCATGAAGGAACCGGCAGAGGAGCCAGGTATGCAGGACCTGGGGCTGAGATCTCCAAGCCTGCTAAGATTAGGACTGGGCCTTCTCTGCCCAGATCCCCATTTTCCAGTAGCTTGGCAGTCACCCCCACAAATTGCCCCCAGCACCATGTAATCTCATCAATGGCCAAGATCCAAAGACTGTAAAACAAAACTCCCAGAAGGGAGTAATGCAGTTTCTCCCTCTTGGAGAGCCCAGCAACTATCAAGAGTATCCCACCCATGTGGCAGCCTGGCAAGCTACCTGTGAAGTGTCCAATATGCCAAAAACAGTAATAATAAAAAGCGTCATTCCCCTGACCCTGATAGAGCCCTAATACATCACTGGGCTACGCTAGCACACAACAGGGATGAATGAAGACGCTACTGGCGCCTGCTCGAGCAAATTGATGAACAAGTGATGCAAGTGATTTGTGATATGTGTGGGGACCACTATGACAATTATAGTTGAAAATAACCACTCTTTACAAAAACTGAGTGCTGAGAAGAGGTAAGGTGAATGTATAATAGTACTGCAAGCCACAGTGACTAAAAGAAAAGAGAGGGGGGGGAGGGAAGATGTGTTTGTCATAGAGGCAGACTGGGAGAGGGAGGGATACCAGGGACACTGGTAGTGGGAAATGTGCACTGGTAAAAGGATGGGTATTGGAATATTGTATGACTAAAAATCATAAACAACTTTGTAACTGCATCTTGCAGTGATTCAATTAAGTTATTCAAATTAAAAATTTTAAATGATGTATCAAAGATTACAAATTCTACCTTTACTTACAGTTAGTTCATTTTTCAGCATTTTTTCAAAGAGTCCAACAATATGTTCTTCATTTTCGTTTGTGCTCATAAGTATGCAAATTTGTTGTGATATTCGTTCTGAGATAAAAAAGAAAAATAATAATACATTTTAAACATGATGTGGAATAAAGCCCTAAAACTCTGAAATCTATGCTGACCTTCCCTAACTCTCAAATAAAAATAAGATTTTGGCTTCAGGTCAAGTGGAGCAACTTGGACAACTCACTAAGATGCCTTTGATGCTCTTTAGCAGAGATAAAAATTTATAGATCTAATACTTGGTGTGTTGGTAACCAGGACATGTGTAGGCAGAAAAAAGTAAAATATTTTCTTGATATATTTGAAAGGAAGCAATTGGAAATGACCACTATTGTCTCACTAATTCAATTCTTCCATGTATTTAAGGAGTATTCTAGAATCCCCTTGAATTCCTTCTCCCAGCAATAGCTCCTCTCTTTTTGTTTTTTGGGCCACGCCCAGTTGTGCTACTTCTTGCTCAGTGAATGGGGACTGAGTGGTACCAGAAATTGAGCTCTAGCTTCTGGCATGAAAAACACACACAGTTGTCCTTTGCACTATCTCCTGAGCCGCTAACCTAAGAATTTTCATTTCACCTGTATTATGTAGAAAATACAGTTTTAGACATAGGAAACCATGATTTGGTCTTACAATATTTCAGAATTATAAATAATTTTTATATATCTATGGTTCTCTTTTTATGGCATCCTGAGCTGGCAAAATTGTTCATAATATCTCAATTCACTACATGCAGGATACTAATTGATACACATTTTCCACTCACAATAATAATTGCTTACACCTTTCAGATATCTCATGATCACTCTTAAAGGGTTTTATCAATACTTTAACATTTTTAAAGGAAAGTGTTCTTGATTCTCTTATATTTTTGTTTTCTAGTACATTTTTTCTTCTACAATTTTTATGTTTAGTTTGCTGCTCTTTCCAAACTTCTTGAAAAAATGCTTAGTTTTCACTTTCTACATTTTCTTTATTTGAATATTTACATGTGTAGCTCTAAACTTTCCTCTATTAACAATTTTATCTGAGCTTAAAATTTTTGTTATTTCATTCAATTTAAAATTATTTCACTTTTACTTTTAAATATTTTATTCATTACCCAATTTAAACATTTTCTACTTCCCTTTGTAACGTATCATTTGACTTATGGATCATAAGAAATTTTATTACTATCAGTTTTCTATAGCTGCACAATAAATTACTATAATTTAACAGCTTAAAACATCACCTACAGATTAGCTCACAATCATTTTTAATTAATAGATATCAATACAGGCTTGCTCCTCAAGATCATGTTCTCCTTTGACCACATATCTTGCTAATTCGTCTCTATTCGTCTTTATGTTTCTTTGCTTGCTTATTTCCACTCTGGAGAACTCTGTGTTCTCTCTCACGCACATTTCCTCTTTTTCTCTCCTGTCACATCCTTCTTTTTTTTAATATATTTTTTATGTAGGTAAAGGCCCTCCCGTTGATCGTCGATTTGCTCGAGCGGGCCCAGTAACGTCTCCATTGGAGACTTTGTTGTTACTGTGTCTGGCATATCGAATACTCTCGGTAGCTTGCCGGGCTCTCCGAGAGGGGCGGAGGAATCGAACTCGGGTCGGCCATTCGCCTTACAAGCGGCCAACATGGCCGACCCGAGTTCGATTCCTCCGCCCCTCTCGGAGAGCCCGGCAAGCTACCGAGAGTATTCGATATGCCAGACACAGTAACAACAAAGTCTCCAATGGAGACGTTACTGGGCCCGCTCGAGCAAATCGACGATCAACGGGAGGGCCTTTACCTTTACCTTTATGTAGGAGTATTGCTATTTATTCAACCATTGATTAGGCTGATTAAACTGGGCATGAACTCCACTCCTCTCACATCCTTCTATGAAAGTTGCATACAATAAAAACTGCCTTGCCTCAGGGCTGGAGTGATAGTGCAGCAGGTACAGCTTTCGCCTTGCTCTTAGCAGACCCAGGTTCGATATCCCACACGGTCCAGAGCACCAAGAGGAGTAATTTCTGAGTACAAAGCCAGGAGTAACCCCTGTGCATTGCCAGGTGTGACCCAAAATGCCAAAAAACAAACAAACACAGCAAAACTACATTGCTTCACCAAAAAAAAACTAACAAAGACTCCCTTATTAGAGAACTTGGAAGATAGTAAGTTTACTGAAATATACATGTTCATGTTGAGCTACTAATTTCCCCTTAATATTTCTAGTGGATAACTATAAAACACCCTAACCCAACTACCCCAATCTCATCTTCATGATACACTATAAATAACAATTCAAGCACTTAGGAGGGGTTAATATAAACAAAACAATATGAAAAATTGAATATTCATTAGTGACAGATACGACATACTTTTTAGACACCTTCTATTAAGGTAAATAGGTTTTTTTTAAAGTTTACATAAATTTACTTTGATACTGGAAATAATTATAAGATAATATATTTATATGTTAAGAATACTTCACTTATGATACTCCACAATCACTACCATGCTCCTGGCTGGACTCCACTACCTGGGACAAGCCTCATCTTGAAATTAATTGAAAAACTCAGGTATGCAGGTTTGGTGACTGAAATCTCCAGGATTTCACAGAGTTTGTGGTGGACTATGTCCTCTTATATCTTTGTATTTCCAGAAGCCCTGGTAATGAAGCACACATACACCCCCAAAGCACCACCCAATTAAAACTTTAAATCCAGCTGTATCGCCCACTTAAAATTTTGGACTTCCTAGAGTGGGCAGCCACATTCGTGGTCATGTAGCATCCCAATCTCTACAGCACTGATAAATAAGAAGTAGCAGACCAGATTGGATGGGATGTAATGCAGAAGGCAACCAATCTTAATTAATAAAATATAAATACAGAAGGGTTAACCTGAAACAACATCTTAGCAGTCTCTTATACAAGGGCTTAATGGCTCCATGGTGAGATACAACAATATTCACTAACTTTCTTTTAAAGATACATTTTTGACCATTCCTTTAGGAAATTTTTTATAACAAACAATATCATAGTCACGGTCCTCCCGTTGTTCATTGATTTTTCTCGAGCAGGCCCAGTAATATCTCCATCGTGAGACTTAATAAACTATTGAGGGCCTAACATGGGGACTCACTTAAGAGGTGGTTGGGAAAACTAGAAATAATGGTGATGGGAAGGTGCAATGGGGGTGGGATTGGTGTTGGAATATTGAATATCTGTAACAAATCACCATGAACAACTTTGTAAACCACAGTGTTTATTAAAATGTAAGGGGAATAGAAATTCAAAAAAATACTTCACATATGAAATGATGAGTTACCAAAAATCAGTTTCTATTTATAAATAAAATACCTCTAATGGATTTGCAATACATCTAAAAAGAAAGGTTGATGCCTTAGAAATAATAAAAGACCCAGCATCCACAGATTTTTAGTGAGATAAAATGAGTTGAATGTGCAAATTTTGTAGTGTATTTTGTGCAAGACAATTCAAAAAAGTGTTGACAGAATAAACATTGTTACTATTGTGCTCATACACATTTATTAAAAATCTTGCCCTTTGTCTACTCAAAACACAAGTTCTAACTTCAAACAATCCTTTGTAAAAATCTTAATATTTCATAGTTTTGCCAGTAATTCATAACCAACTTTTTCCAACTGTGTCTATTTAGTTTTTAAAATTCACCAAACATACTGTAGTTATATATAATAACACAAAAAAATAACCTGAATAACTGAATTCCTCAAAACTGAGATGGATACTTTCTTCTTATGATTACCCATATCTTGGTTTTGTTCACTAGATTTAGTCTAAAGCAACTATGTGACTTTTATTAGTTCCAGAATAATGTGATGAAAATCTTAAATGGAAATATTCATGTTAAGATCATCATCAAAATAAATACAGCAGTGATTTTACTAGTTCCATGTAGCTGGGAGGACAAAATGAGAAATGATGTAGAGAGAGGAGCAAGACTCAGATAACTTGAACTTTTCCATTTTACAGTTATTCAAAAATCCTACTTAAAGAGAGGGGGAAATGAAAAAAAATATTTAAAATTAATTTATTCATGGAGCCCTAAGCATTTACTAAACATAATATCATTAACCTTGATTATTTCTCATAAAAAATAAAATATTTAACATTTTCCTGAGGTTAATGATGAAATCAAGACCAAAAATAGACATCTTAATCAAATATCCCATTAAAAAAGCATTTCTTAGAAAAAAAATTAAAGGTTAGACAGCACACAGCAGCCCACAGAATCGACTGGTGGGTTCCACAACTCCCAGAGAATTCTCCGGGCCCTGTACAGAGCCGATATCAACGGGAAGTCCCAGATGGGGTAGGTGCTGTCTCCCTGCCTTCTCCAGATGGAATCCTGGAGACCATGAGCTTCTACAAGCATGGCTCCATATACAGGTACCAGGACTATTTTCTGAACCACGTGGAGATGCCAAGCCGGGTAGCTCTGCCCCAGCTCCCAGCAGCCTCTGATCCCAAAAGTCATGCCCACAACACGCCCCCAGTGCCATCTTACAGCACACAGAAGTCAAGAGAACCGGCTGGCAGGCTCCACAACTCCGGGCCCTGTACAGAGCCAATAACACCAGGAGATCCCAGATGGGGTAGGTGCTGTCTCCCCACTTCTCCACATGGAATCCTGGTGACCATGAGCTTCTACAAGCATGGCTCTGGTATGCGGGTACCAGGACTATTTTCTGAACCGTGCAGCCACTTACACAGCCACATGACATTTTCTGATTGCAAAGTGATCAGTGGAAAGTAAATGATCTAGTGTTTGTTCCTTAAAGATAGGCTTGAATTTTGGTGGGAAAGTCTGAGCAAAATACAATGCCCAATCAAAATGCATCTGGACTGTGCATTTAACTATGGTGCTATGTCGCCCTGGGAGGGGAAGGGTGTCTGTCCCTCTGCCTGTCCCCCCTTCCAGTGGCATCATGGTGGCCTGCATCCTTTAGAGCCCAGTGAACATCCACTTATGAGACTGCATTGACGAGGCATGTGGGGCCTCTTGGGGAGGGGG